AGTGGGAAGAGGAGCACCATGCCAGGCACAAGCCAACATAACTGCAGAAACATTCAGCTTCTTTCTCATATCTCAGGTCTCGAAGAAACACAGCAGAGCCAGATCTACGACCCCAGGGCTCCGCAGGCATCCCCCGTGCCAGGCACAAGCCAACATAACTGCAGAAACATTCAGCTTCTTTCTCATATCTCAGGTCTCGAAGAAACACAGCAGAGCCAGATCTACGACCCCAGGGCTCCGCAGGCATCCCCCGCGTCTCCCTCCCAGCCTTTGCCCTGGCACCAACCCCGAACAGGCACAGGAGGGGCTTGGCAGCTACTGCAGAGAGCAACCGGGTCCTCAGCACCAGGCGCCGAAACTCCTTTTCCCTTCAAAAAACAGCTGAAAGTTTCCTACAAGGCAGAGCATTCGATGGCCCAGCTCCACAAGATCAGCCTCTGGATGCCAGACTGGGCAGCCTCTGGGTGACGCTTTGAACCACGAAAACCGCTTTTAAAGGTAAAACTCTCAGCTCCCGTGTCTCCAGTTCACTCTGCGCTCCCTTCCCGACAGCGCGGGGGCTGCCTGGGGAAACCTGGGCGAATTCTTTGGCCTCCAATTTCCACCCCCCAGGTGGCAACAAGGGAGAGAAAAGCACTGCAGAAGAATCTGCAGAGGGAGAACTTCTCCTGGGCCTTCTGAAGGAGTCCTGTGGCCCCAGCAGGCAAGCGGGGTCCATCTCGCTGATGGGACGTGGGCACACGTGGCTGGGGAAATACAAAAGCACAATAAAAAGAGCTTCAGATTTCAAAGCAGGAGGAGAAGGCAGAGCCACGGAGCCTGTGGGCTACGGGATGGAAAAGCAGGCGGTTTTGCAGCACGACCCATTAGAGTGCCGAGATCGAAGAGCTGAGCACTGCAGAGCGGGAGCTGTTTTCCCAAGGGGTCTCTCCGCAGGGCTCTCACCACCCAGCTACGCAGGGCTGTCTGGAGAAAACCAGAACAAAGCAGGAACAGCGCGAGCCCTTCCCTTCGGTGCTTCGGAGAAACGAACCCTCGGGCGAGGCGAGGTCCGAGGAGCCGGCTGGGAAGCCCACGAGGTCGGCGAGTTTGGCTTCGAGCATCTCCACCGATCAGCACGGGCTGTGGCTGCTCCTTCTGGGGGGGAAATCTTTTCGCTAACAAACACCGAGCAGCTGCTCGTCCCTCGCCCCAGTCGCCCTTCGCTGCCGAGGTTGTGGAGTCTCCTTCTCTGGTGG